TATTTCAACTGTTGTTCTCACAGATAATGTCATCTTTAAAGCACTAAAAAGTGCAAAACTTGACGTGTACAATAAAAACCATACAGGCACCTCTTCTTCTCCAAGATAGGCAGCTCAGTAAAATTCTGCCATAATAAGCAGTAAAGAATATATTTTACTTTCAAATCCATCCTCACTGTGTACCCACATGATAGATAAAACAAACATAATGAAAGGGAACAAATTACCAAGTGATGCTCCATCAGTGTGTTGACTGTACTTTTAACAAAAATATGAACAAAGTTAAATGGGTTATAGAAGCACATTCAGATTTTATCAGAACAATCTCTAGAACACTGTTTAATCCAAATCTCCACGTTACAACTTAGCACTGCCCTGTAATCCTATGGAACAGCGCCCACTTTATGCTTGGAACATCCATATTTAGAAAGAAGATTTTATTATGAAACATGGTTTTAAAAACAAAAAATTATTTATTTTTTTTCCCAGTGTCCTTCATAGATAGTTGAATTATTCATATTTAAATAAAAGTCATGGATTTTGCTTGGGTTTTTTTTAATTATATCTATATAACTTGCAGCTGGTAGTCTACAAAGAGAGATGATGTCAACATATGATAGGACACATCCCCCAAAATACTAGCACTTTGGAGCTAAAACAGGTAGCACAGGAAATTGTTGTGGAAACTTGATGACAGTCTTGTCGTTTCAATACTTTTTGACTAGAATTTCAGCTACTAATGATGGAAGAATAAGAAAGAGAACACTGGTCTGGATTTTAAAGTTAACGGTGATAACATCTTGCAGCTGAAATTGCACCGTGGACTGAGCTGGTATTCTCTTCTCATCCTACAGTGCTAAACCAGAGCAAACAAACAAAAAGATTTCTCATTTACATGGCGATCGGACCATCTGCTGCCCAAGTAATAACCCAAAATAAAACAGTCCTTCAGGCACTGCACTGGCCGGAGCAGCGCGTGTGCAATGCACACACTGACATAATTCACTCACTGCGAGGAGAGAGGCTGCCTTACATAAGGGCCTGCCGTTTTCTTTTTTTTTTTTTTTCACTTTTTTCTTGCTGGCTACGCAGTTTTTCAGTGCTCCCAAAGGCTGTTTTATTTTTCAGACTATGTTTAACCAGAGACAATCGTGCGAGAAAAGTAGAAATCTTTAAGGCTAACGTTACAATCCAAGCAGAAGAGCTAGTCACACAAAGAGAAAGGATTTTCAAAGCTTCAACTCATTTTAAATGACACATTCATTTCTGCAGTTTTTCTGCTATAAGCAAACGAAGAACCTCACTCTGCATTCCACTGAACACCTCAAATCCCCTTGACATTCAATGAACATCTGGAGTCCAAATGAATGCAGAATTAATCCCCAAGGCTGGACAGCAAAACAGGTCAGGAACCATCCCTGCTACAAAAGTCACCGTGGAAATCTTGCAGCAGGTCAGCTGAAACCAGGCCGCACTTCACCGCTGGTTTTGTAACACCAGTTTTATTTTCAGACCAATTTCCCTTAACCAGCTCTTACCCACAGTATAGCGTTAGCATAGTTATAAGTGCAATGACCTAAACTATCCTGATAAAACCTACAGCAAGTAGGTCCACCCGTACTCAGTAGCAGGCATTCCTAGAACATTCTTCTAACCAGATTCTTAGTACCCTTGACTCTCCCACGAGTCTTTGGAGGAGTTGATGGTACTCAGCTCCTGGGGCTTTTAACCCTTTCCTTTTCCTTCCATTGGGGAAAAAAAAAAAAAGTAAAAGAGAAAAAAAAAGAAAAAGGAAAGAAACAAAGAAAGTCAATAACACACACATGCTCTCCTACACACACACCCCCACACACAGAGGAAAAAAAAAAGAAAAAAAAGGAAAAAGGAAAGTTATACGAGGTGCCAATCTGGAATGAAATGGATTTTTGAACAGACAGTCATATTTGGCACTGTCAGCAAAAAGCTTGTGGGTGGCCCTGTGTCTCTCCGAGCCTTAATGCCCTTTTTACATCGGTCATTTAAAAATGTCCCCTGGAAAGTCCAGCTGTGCTGCTTCTGACATTATTTTCACAATGCTGCTGAATGGACTCGATGGAGAGATTCGCTTTCCCCCACCCCAGTTCCATAAAGCACTATACATTAAGGACGTATTCCATTTGGCCTTCAAGTAGCGTTTTTTATGGTCCATGCAGATCCAAGATTATTTTCCCTTTAAAAAGAATCAACAGAAAACAGAACTCTCTGTTGGAGAGCATGGAAATTAAAAACTATTGGATCTCCCAAACCGCCTCCTATGATCCTCAGGCAGAAGACTGGATTAAAGGGTCCTCACACGGTTCTAGCTGCATTCTCAGTACACCACTTTTATGAAGAAACCAGAGCTGTAGAAATTCCTCCGGCATGGCGTGGAATCCAGAATCAGGCAAGACATTGTCATAGTAATGATGGCTAATAAACTTCCCGCGCAGGTCCACCGAGAATGGCCAGAAGCCGTAAATTGTTACTTCTTCGCATAGACCAAGGGCGGCACTGACTAGGAAAAGTCCCGTGGAAAGCCGTTTGGCATGGATACCTTTGCTCTTCCAGAACTTGCCAATGTCACGCAGGAAATTGGGGTTGGCAAAAAGAACGGCCTGCTTGGCACCGAAGTCCTCCAGGGTGTAATAGACACGTAGGGAGGGTCCTGTCCCTGTCTTCATGGAGAAGGCCGGCATGTAGATGTAGCTGTGGTTATACACCTTCACGCTGTCCACAAATGCTTTTCGAGACCACAGCAGATTCTGGAACCTGTAAAACGAAAGAGAAAAACAAGCTGGTGAGACATAGGTTTGCCAATCGTTTCAAAACCCAGCTAAAAGCTGCTATTCATACACATATTTACATTTATCTGCACACCTTTCTCAAGCCCAGAGAAAGTCCAGACAAACTTCTGACTGTCTGACACTGCCTCTCTTCTAAAAATACAAACCTGAACAGACAGTTGAAAGCTATCATCTGGTATCCTGCTAACTCCAGAAACCAAAACATTTCTGATTTTATCTTTTCAAAAAAACTTGAATGAATACTGACAGTTTTCCTGAAAATCAATAATTTTTAGTGACATTTTTCTTTTTGTCCAAAACCCGACCTATTTTTTTCAGGCACAGGAAGCTTTACAAGAAATTTTAAAGTCCGCGTTGTTCTTGTTTCTTAAAGGCATAGTAAAAAACATTCCAAGTTACATGCTGAGCAAGCAATACCAAGAAATTTAAATACAAATCTTGGACCAAGAAATTTAAATACAAATCTTGGACTTCTTACAGAACTTCTAAGACTTGTAAGAATTGTTTTTGTTATGCCTGTATGGTGATTTAGGTTGTGCTACCATAGTAGTTAATTCTTGTTCTGGAACTGAGAGAAATCTCAAAGAACATACTTTATTACAAACAATAAAAGAGAAATCAATGAATTGTTTAGGATAAGTGGCACCACCCAAATTTAGCAACAGGCACCAAACAATATTCAGACTTGGTGTTTAAGGTGGCATGGGTCACAACAACCCCATGCAGTGCTACAGGATTGGGGCGGAGTGGCTGGAAAGCTGCCTGGCAGAAAAGGACCTGGGGGTGTTGGTGGACGGCCGGCTGAATATGAGCCAGCAGTGTGCCCAGGT